CACTAAGTCACTGCTTATTAAGGTCCGTCCAGAATTACCGTGGCCCACCCAAAAATGAAATCCTGGCACCGCGCCTGTTATAAACCTCTGCAAATTGTTGTTCTTCACTTAATCAAACTCAGACTTTGTACAGCTAATGTCAAGATGTAAAATTATGAATTCAGTCGAGCTCTTCTGTCCCTCCCTCTCCTGCTCTCCTGGAAACCCGACATCGGCTGTCAGAAGAGGGAGGTGAAGAAAGAGATGAGGCAAACAGAGTGAGTGCGACATAGAGAAACCAGACTGGTGTGGAGGTGAGCAAAACAGCTGGAAAAGTGTGGGTGTTGCATCCCCCCATCCCCCACGGGTGCGACGCCCATGCGAGCGACCGGTACTGGCTGCTGTCACCTGGTTGTGAGCAGCTCTCTGCTGTCTGAGGGTAGGCCCCGCCCACAACGCTGTGGCTGCTGCGGTGTTTTCTTTACTGTGGGAAACGGGTAATAATGGCTCTTTGATGGGAACAGGTTGCCGACCCCTGGTATAAGATCTGAGCTGGTAAAACAAAAATCCTCATCAGCAGGCTTTTTTGAAAGTGGGGGGGACACAGCTGCCAATCACAAATTTTGCCGGGGACATGTCCCCGGCGTCCCCGGTTAAAATGACGCCTATGTATGTACGTACCGGAGATTCTTTTGAGCAGAGAGCGGCAGAGTGCTGATCGTTGGTGCGCTCCAGGCAGCAGCGTCCAGCATACTGTCCATTCTCAAAGTGGCGCAACAAAAACATTATTAACACACGATCGTTCATATCAGTTTAGTTTATATACTCTGGTACTCTGTGTTTTAATCGTTCCTGCGTGACACGCTCTGCTCATTGTGTGCTGCAGTGATTTCACCTCGCTGACGCTGCATCAAAACACGCAGATCCCTTTGATCTGCTTAAAAGTAACTGATGAGGTGTAAAAGTGAGAATCCAGATAGCAGATTTTCTGGACAGTTTAGAGGAGATGCAGGAAGATGGGAGACAGACAGGACAGATAATAGTTAAATAAAAACAAGAAAACAAAGAAAAAAGTGTTGAAAGTAAAATGTAGGTAGATTTATCTCCACTACACGTTTTTAACTGTAGAAAACAATAAGTTATACACATGTCATATTTATACATTTGATACAAATCTGATCACCTTCAAAATTCACACACCCAGGGCCGTTTCAAGGCATTTTGGCGTTATAGCACATTTCCTACTCAAAGGCAACTCTATGTGCTTTACAGCAGTCTTTAATTTACACCTGCTCTTGTTTACCACTTTCTCTTTAACGCTTTTTACACATCAAACACTTTTTAACAGGACTTCAGAGGTAACCTGATTCATCCTGAACGATGTTTCAGATATATTTCATTCACTATTTTCATAATAATTCTACTTATGGACAAAGTAGTTACAGATGTGGACTAAATTGTTGATACCCTTGAAATTAAAGAAAAACTCAAACTGGTCACAGAAATAACTTGAATCTGACAAAAGTAATAATCAATATAAATTCTATGAAATTTAACCAGTGAAAGTCAGACATTTGCTTTTCAACCGTGCTTCCATGGAATTATTTAAAAAAATTAATTGGTGGCACGGGCCTGGACAAAAATTATGGTACCCCTAACTTCATATTTTGTTGCACAACCTTTTGAGGCGATCGCTGCAATCAGACCATTCTTGCAACTGTTAATGAGACTTCTGCACCTCTCAGCAGGTATTTTGGCCCACTCCTCATGAGCAAACTGCTCCAGGTGTCTCAGGTTTGAAGGGTACCTTTTCCAGACGGCATGTTTAACTCCTTCCAAAGCTGCTCAGTAGGATTGAGTACCGGACTCATGGAAGACCACTTTAAATTAGTCAAATTTTTTGTTTTTTTATTCCGGACTCTTAATCCAATTCACAGAAGTAATAAGACATTGTGTAGGTAATATAAAATGAAATGGGCACAATAAGACACGCTAAAACACAAGAGACAAATAATCATGAAGAACAGAAACAAGAGACAATCGTAAAAGTAGCGTGAAAATAAAGTATAAGTAATAGTAATAGTAACTCCCTAATCCAAAAAAGTAAAAGACCGTTATACCAGTGTTTCCACATCTTTCACTGGTAACGTATTGCACTGACACAGGTGTTGGTTAAATTTAAAACAATCACATTTTTAGAATTGTTCAGCCTACAAATACATTTATAAATACTCTTTTTACGACAGCTTGTAGGGTGCTCACCCTTGCATTTACAAAAGTCTCACATGCACTCGTCCATCTAGGCTTCCATAGAATCAAACACAGAGCACCATTATAGGTCACGTTTTCCTCAGCCATTCTTGGGTGTTTTTGTGTGTTTTGGTCATTGTCCCGTTGCAAGACCCATGATATGCGACTGAGACCGAGCTTTCTGACACTGGCCAGCACATTTCTCTCTAGAATCTCTTTATAGTCTTGAGATTTCATTGTACCCTGCACAGATTCAAGACACACACACACATATACATATATATATATATATATATATATATATATATATATATATATATATATATATATACATAGCCCCATAGCCACGCCCTGGTGTGGGGACTGGGGGGTGCGTTGACATGGTCGGGACATGGAAGGGGGTGCGGGGCTAAATAAGTTTTGTAACCGCTGTTCTAAGTCATCAGTAAAACTTGGAACAACTTTTTTCCACCAGTCATCAGCTTTGTTCTGGACCCAGACGGACGGTGAAGAGTTGAGCAAAAAGTCGCAAAACCATCTAAATCTCAGACAGAACACGATTTAAAATATAATCTGGAATATTCACTTAATGTAATCTGCTCAACAGAAAACAACAGAATACCATCTAAAATGTGTATTCATACAAATCATACTATCAGCGCGTGCTTAATATATTAAACTTGTACATCGTCTCGTTTTCTATTCTTCCTCTATAACGGAGTGTCGCTCGCCGCTGGATCTCCTGACTATTTTGGGCCATTCCCATCTGTACCGGGTCGGCCCGGGGCCGGGTAGCGTAGGTTGTTTACATATCTGGGTGGCCTGGTATTTTTCCGGGCCAACCAAGGCTCATTCTCAGCCCTCTTCTCGAGGGGGTCTGCTTCAGGCCGACCAGGGCCAACACACCCACTGCTGACAGCAAATTCACACCTTCCATTAGAGCAAGCCTCTGATTGGTGGGTAGAATCAGCCCACATGGGCTTAAGGCAAGGATGTGTGGAATCAACCGGGCCAGGCTGGGGCCGACTGGGGCTACCCGGCCCGGGCCGACCCGGTCCAGATGGGAATGGCCCATGCTCTAGCAGCCTTCAAGTGATACTTGGAATTTGATCTCCCATCAAAGTATTTCTGTCAAGCAGGTAATGACCACAGTTGCCTCCTCATTCTTCACGTTAGATAAGGTTTGTTGTGTTTTTTTAGCTCCTTTTTTTCTGGTACTTAACGCATGACTGTCGCAGGTGGTTTCGTCACCCCTGCGTCTAAGTGGTCCCTGAGCGCTGTCATAATGCAATCTGAGAAGGTTCCCCTGTGAAAGGTAATTGTAGAAACTAAATTCTATGAGGATGGTTCTAAGAACTAGATTAGATTAGATTAGATTAGATTAGATATCCTTTATTGTCATTAAATGATTGCACATTCAACGAAATTTCCTAGAGCTCCACATTAGGCATCCGCTAAAAATACTAAGAAAAATAGTTAAAACAAGTACAATATGCACCATGCAATAAAAAACAAAAACATTACAAAATACAATAAATAATATCAATAGGGTTGATTTTTCTGTCCATTCAGGGTTCTAATAGCCCAGGGAAAGAAACTCTTCCTCAGTCTGTCGGTCCTGCAGCTGAGGGATCTGAACCTTTTCCCAGATGGCAGCATGGCAAAAAGGTAGTGGTTTGGGTGGTAAATGTCCCTGGAGATGGTCCTTGCTCTAGTGAGACACCTCTGCAGGGCGATAGTGTCCAAGGAGGGAAGGGTGCATCCAATCACCTTTTCCGCCGCTCTAATGACCCTACTACTCTGTACGAAAGGGACTATAGAGTTGAAGTGCCTTTACATGAAGTTATTTTTGTCTCATCTGTTCATGGGACATTCTCCCAGTTCATGGGACATTCTCTCAGAAGCGTGACATATTCCAGTCTGGCTTTTTTGTGATTTGTTTTCAACAGTGGTGTCCTCCTTGGTCATCTCCCATGTAGTCCGCTTAGGCTCAATCAACAATGGATGGTGTGATCTGACACTGATGTTCCTTGAGCTTGAAGTTCAGCTTGGGTCTCTTCAGAAGTTCTTCTGGGCTTTTTCTTACTATTTGGATTATCTGTCTCTTTGCTTTGTCATCAGTTTTCCTCCTGCAGCCACGTCCAGGGAGATTGGCTACAGTCCCATGTAGGGCTGGGCGATATGGCCTATTTCACCTCAGTATCGATAAATGGACGATAACTACAGGTGTGCGTAGAAACAACACACATCTTTTCATTATTTTATTATCAAATTTATTTACATGGGAAAAATTATCTGAACAAGAGTCCGCAATTTTGATCACGATAAATTTTCGATTGATTGCCCCAGCCCTAGTTCCATGGATGTGAAACTTTTGAATAATATGTGCAACTGTTGTCACAGGAACATCTAGCTGCGTGGGAATGGTCTTGTAGTCTTTACCTTTAACAAGCTTGTCTAGAATTTTCTTTCTAATCTCCTGAGTCAAGTCTGTCCTTCGCTTCCTCTGGTCCATGTTGAGTGTGGTACACATCATGTCACCAAGCATAGAAGCATAGTTCAAAAGCTTTGTCTGACATTCCTTGGTTAAATTTCACAGAATGTTTACTTATTTTTACTTTTGTCAGATTCTAGTTATCTCCGTGACCATTGTGGGTTTTTCTTTCATTGACCAAAGAGTACCAACAATTTTGGCCATTTCAGTATATATTTCTTAAACGGAGAACATTGTTATTATGATAAAATAATATAATGTTTGTCTATTGTGTAAGCTCCAGAATGACTGTAGTAAGCCATCAGCAGTGGGGAAGCATGAGCGACCTGGGAAGCGTGGACAAGTGGGTCCTCCAGTCCCCACGGGTGACGGTGGAGATTCTCACACTGGGTGCAATCATCCGATCTGTGCTCTGCAGAGGCCAGAACGGTCAGATGGAGGATGTAGTCTTGGGCTACGATGACCTCAAAGGTAAGATAGAAAAGAAATTGTAACTTGTACATAAAATGCCTTTTCAATATACGTATTTTTTTAATGGCTGTATTTTTAAAATATTTCAGAATTTCATGTGGCCAGATTTATCCTGGGAAATCACCTTTTTCCATGTTTTAGTCATTTAAAAATTGATTACATCTAAAATCAGGATTAATGCAAGTTGAGATTTCTGTTTTTGGGTGGTTAGAATCCCAAAGCAAAAACTTTAAAACATTAATTAAACCACAAAAATCACGTTAATAGAACTCTCCAAATGGTAAAAATGGCCTGTATGTAATGGCCTTTGATATATCACCTTCTAGGGTTCTACAACCCTCCAAGGCACTTTATAGCTTGAACATTAATCCACATAAGCACTCACTTATTCGCATATTGGTGATAATAAGCTACAGTTTAGCCACAGCTGTCCTGGGGCTCACTGACAGAAGCGAGGGTCCAAAACTAAACATACATGCTGTGTCCACATTTAGGGGCTGCATCCTTCCAAGGCTGCGTTTAAAGGCCATTTACATCGTCAGCTTAATTCAGTGAATGTTATAACACTTTTAGTGAACACTTCAAGTATGGTAGGTGCACATGAACAACCTTTTTAATCTTCTCTTTAAATAAATTATCCTTTTGAAACAGTCCAACCCAATATAATGTAGATCGTTTGCAGAGTTCAAGTCAATGTCAAAATAGTTTAGTCAACTCAAGAATTCTCCATTGTAGGAAAACAGTGTCGTATTAAAGCTGCTGTCTAGAGTTTTCCCCTTTCAGGATTTATGTAAAAAAAAAATCAGAAATCCATAAAAGTGATTGTCTTATGAACTGTGATATAATGCAATGTAGGGAATGTGTCTTATTTTTTTTCTTTTTTACTAAGCTCATAGCTCCTCTCTCCCTTGAATCTGCCTTGCCCCACTGTTAAAAACAGGAGGACCCAAGTCCCTGTCTTCCCGTGCATTGTACGCCGATTATGTCTCATAGCCATAGCTTGTTATCAGCTTGCGCGACAGATGCATCTGCCCACTTGCGTCCTGACCTTGTGGTGATGCCTGCCTGTCTGACTTTTTCATCCAGAACAATGGCATTAGACTACTGTTCACATACAGACATCAATCACAGCGCATGCTCGAGCGTTTAAGGATGTACCTCGGTCGATGCAGAGGTGGAGACCTTTAAAATATAAATAAATGAAAATGCGACAAAAATGGGCAAAATAACGTGTTTTAACTCTGTTTTGTCAACTTGAGAAGTACGTTCATGAATGAGGCATTGCTTTTGCAGGTCGTGGTGTGATATGCTTGTCAACCACTCGATGGTGCCATCAGGCAAAAGAAAAAATACAGGCAGCTTCTTTAAAGGCAACAAATTTAAAGAAATTAAAGCAAGAAACCCAAACTTTTGTTTTTGTTTGCCCTAAGAAAAAAAGTTCAGAGGGACCTGAGAAGAACCACCATGGTTAGGATGACTGGTGTTGTGTTGTCAGGGTATGTGTCGGATAAGCGCTACCTGGGAGCTGTGGTGGGTCGTGTGGCCAACAGAATTGCCCGAGGACATTTCGTAGTAGAAGGGGAAGAGTTCCAACTGGATGTCAATAACGGACTTAATGCTCTCCATGGAGGCCTGAGGGGCTTTAATAAGGTAAGTTTAAAAACACATCAGCCAGTTTTTGATTAACCTGGATTTATTGACACTCAGAAGCGGGCCTAATGCTGGTCCTACATGTTAGGTTCTACATCTGCATGTAAATAATTTATTATATAAAATTCAGTTTAAGGCATGGTGGACTCCTTCTAGCTGCTTTATCAAATCTGCATAAAGAAACTTGCAAACCACACACTGGTGATTGGTATAACACCTTAAAGAGACAATGTGTAGTTTTTACCATTAATTTCTGGAAATATCCATCAAAATGTTGTTGCAAATGAATGAAATGATGCCCAGTTGTTGAAAAATATTGGCGGCTTTGTAACATATAACCATAAAAATTAGGTCTAAAATACATGGGAGCGGGTCTAAGTCTCTGGGCGACGCCATATTAGAGGCCATGTTTCCTTCTACGGGAGCCCATGAGGACAAAATGCATTTACTGATTTGTAAGACATGGTTACAAAACTTCGTCATTCTTAAATGTTGTTTTACACATTTACCTCTTCACCTGTTGCCAGTCATGAAAGGGAGTCTGATGATGATGATCTTGTTATTAGATCTTTACCTGTAGTAAAGAATAACATCTTTTGTTGTCCGTGACCTCCAATGGTGTTTTTCTTTTTTGGACTCTGGTTGTTTGTCCTAAAGTTTAAGTGGTAGCGAACCTCTCACATTGGTGTTCTGTTGGAAAATGCCTCAGTGGATAATGAGTGGAGGACCCAGGTAAACAATGAAGTGTAGTAGTTTGGATGGTCCAGTCATTGGCTTCGGACCAGTCCGTGTTATTGGCAAATATTTTTAGACAAATTGTATTAGTATTATGTATTAGAACCACTTAAAAATAAATAAATATTAATAATTATCTCTACGAAATATTTATAGCTGCATAATATTAAAAGGTTAAGAGGCATGAAAGAAAAGTTTTATGCTAACTGGTTTTTGCAGATTTGCCATTGTGGCTTTAAGTGCTCCAAACCATTTCCTGGCATGAAGTGTACCTTTACGTTCCAGTAGGGCTGGACAATAAATCAAAAAATGTATCGTTACCGACATTTCTGACTCTTATCGAGATCATTATTCCCATGTAAATAAGTCTGATAACAAAAAAAATGTGTGTAGGTTAGCAATGTTCATGTCCCTTTAACTCATTCGCTGTCAGCCATTTCCTGATCAGTAAAGCCCTTCGCTGCCAGCATTTCTCATCATTTTTACTGTTTTTTTAAGAGTCACAGAACATTGCGCGCTAGGATGATGTTGACGCCAAAACAACAAAAACAAAGCGGAGACTCACCTCTTACATCAGGAAGAATCCGCGCATTTCGAACGTTATCCGCTCTTTCATAATCCGTTGTTGAATTGTGATCGGCAGAAGCTTTTCCGGTTCATGCCTCACCTTTTTTACAGCAGCGGCCCAAAACGATCTCCTAACACATGGATTTTCTGCTTTCTGATCATGTGACGTGAGACGTATACGGATGAAGATCGGCTTCAGAGCTGAGATGTTTGTTCTCTCGGTGCCGGGGCTCGTTCCGATGCCCACACAGTAAAAAAAATGCAAATGACGACTTAAGTCGTCATTGACAGTGAACAGTTGGATTTAAAATGATGACTTGTCGTCAATGGCAGTGAATGATTTAAGAAGCTGTACCACCTTGAGTCACGTAAAAATGTGACTCAACGTAATACAGGTCCTTCTCAAAAATTTAGCATATTGTGATAAAGTTCATTATTGTCTGTAATGTACTGCAAAACATTAGACTTTCATATATATTAGATTCATTACACACAATTGAAGTAGTTCAAGCCTTTTATTTTTTGTAATATTGATGATTTTGGCATACAGCTCGTGAAAACCCAAAATTCCTATCTAAAAAAATTTGCATATCATGAAAAGGTTCTCTAAACGAACTATTAACATAATCATCTGAATCAACAAATTAACTCTAAACACCTGCAAAAGATTCCTGAGGCTTTTAAAACTCCCAGCCTGGTTCATTAATCAAAACCGCAATCATGGGTAAGACTGAGGCCTAGTCCACACGTAGCCGGGGTTTTTTGAAAACGAATATCCGCCCCTCCAAAAACTTGCATCCACACCACCGCGTTTTAAAAACAAACTCTGTCCACACGTACCCGGATAAATACGTTGTTATGGACATGCCAGACCTGTAGGCGGCAGTACTTCCCCCGTTCTTAACCTCGTCCTTCGTCTGTGTTCTTCCGCAAGGAGCAGTAATTCCTCTTGCAAAAACAAACAAGCAGAAAGCGCTTGAACAATTGATGGATCGGGTAGTGACAGAGCGCAGCTCTGAGGGCATCCATGATGTCGGCTACTGTAAACACAGGTCGCACACGTGATGTCAGCATTTTTTGTCGCGGAAAGTGACGTTGCGGACCTTAAAACTCCGGTTTTGTCTGTCCACACGCAGACATCCAAAACGGAGAAAACGCAGATCTTCACTTTGGCCGGAATTTTTAAAAAGATCCGTTTTCGTGTGAAAAAACTCCGTTTTCGTGTGGATGACAGGCCAAAACGTAGAAAAATATCTACGTTTTGGCAGATCCCCGGCTACGTGTGGACAGGGCCTGACTGTCACGGTCTGCCCCCTGCCTCCCTGACTGTGTCTCTCTCCTGCCCTTGATTAGTTCTTATTGTTTTCACCTGCCCCTTGTTTACCTGCCCTGTGTATTTATACCTCCCTCCTTGTATCTGTCTTTGTCAGATCATTGTGGTTGTTTGTCAGCGTTGCTCTTGTCCTGTCGTTCCCGCTCTGTTATTAAAACCAGTTTTACTTTATCCGAGCCTGCATCTTTACCTCCTGAGCTGCTCCACCACACTTGGTCCATCATCTCCACACCCGCAACGTGACAACAAGAGGAGATAAATGCATGAATTTAAAGTTCATGTTTGGGGACCAACCTTCACAGTTTGGAGGCTCACGCTGGTGAGGAGACACCATTAGTGCTATTAACACCTGGGCTCCCAAGGCTTATTCTGACAGGATGGACGTTACGAGACCCTTAAGGATTCCAGCTGGATGATTGGAGGATTATTTAGGAGGACTGGAATGAACAAACTGCTTTCAGTGGTGATGCTTTTCAGTGATTCTGCTGTCACAATGTATATGCAATGTCTGATTTTGAAACTTAGGCTCCCCATTAGCAACGCTTAAATAGAAAATTACAAATATTCTGAGCATTGTTTTTTCCAACCTAGGGATGAGCGAGTACACCACTGTCTGTATCTGTATCTGTTCAACCAACTAAATTATCTGTATCTGTACTCGGAATGGGCGTGGCATAACCCGGAAGTGGGTGTGATTTAACCGGAAGTGGGTGTGGTTTACATCAATATATTATTTTAAGTCTGAAATTGATATGTGTATTGTTTATTTGAAAACTATTTACAGAGCAACCTCAGAATTGAGGTTAAATATTTTGATCACAATAGTAAAGAAACTATTACAGAACAAGTTTCAATAAAATCAGAACATTAATATTTAAGTGCATGGATTAATACATCTGAACTCATGCAGTAGGAACTAGAAAATATGAAATGCTAGAACCAGACACAACTTTATGCATATTTTTTTTATTTTAATTTGATTAAACTGATTTTTTTCTTAACGTTCTTGGCATTTTGCCCCACACAAAGTTAAACAAAACAATGTTGATTAAGGTGTGTGTGTCTGAGAGAGATAGAGAGGGTGAGAGAGAGAGAGAGGGAGTAAAAAAAAAAAAACCCGACCGAAGCGGAGGTAGTGAGTGACTGATGCAGCACGTCAGCTCTGTCTTGTCAAATGCACCAGGTAAGTTATGAAAAAGGTAACTTTAAATATTCAACCGAAAAAGAGGCGAGCTGAAGAAAACCTAGGGAAAATTGAAGAAACGTGAGCAACAGTGAAGCAATCACAGCGAGATCTATTACTGTCTATGTGTGTGCGTGGATGAGCCGGACGGACTGCGCTCCCGGTCGGCTAGAGAGTTTTGTGTGTAGGGAGGGGCGGGCACTCTATGTGAGTGGCCAATCACAGAGCGTGAAGACAGTCAGTTACACAATGAGGATTTTCCTTCAGCACGATTACAGATTTCATGCTCGTACTCGTCAAAAATGCTTTATCCGAGGCTCATCCCTATTCAAACCTGTAGATTTTCCCTGACATTTTTAATGGAGTTTTGAATATTTCTATCTTTTCTTTTTTGTACAGGCTATCTGGAATGCTACCCAGGTGGAAGATGGTGTTAGTCTGAGTCTTACAAGTCCCGATGGAGACCAGGGCTATCCCGGTGAAGTTCAGGTCTCCGTCTCCTACACTTTACAGGTAAGTCCAGCTAAGCAACCCATATTTTATTTACACCTAACCTTGGTGGATGTCAGCACCTAGTTCTGCCTCAGCTTGAAAAAAACCCAGCCTGTACTAGAAATTTTCTTAGATTCATTATTAGGTGCGAACAGCAAAAGTGATGCAAAGGCCATTGTTTTCTCTCTTTTCATGTTTCTTTTAACAAATAAATTGGCAGTTTGTAAGCCTTAACAGATAAACAAAACCTCACAAAACAACACATAGAAAAGGCTTTAAAGACCTGCAGATACCCGACATGGGCAGTAAACAAAGGAAAACAACAACCAACAACTAAAAGAAAAGAACAACCAAAACAAAGAACCAAAAATCCAGAAAGACAAGAACCAAAACCAGTGATAACACTTCCATACATCAAAGGCATTAAAGGAGACATAACATGCTTTTAAGTTATTCCTTTTTACATCTAAATCCTTCAGTTGGGGTCTAAAAACAGTGGAACTGCAGTTCTTTGGTCTGATTTCCTCATTATTGTTGCTCTACAGACCCTCATCTACCCCTGTTCTGAGGAGAGTCTTGAGAACGAGCCGTTTTTGGGTACTGTCTCTTTAAACTGGAGGAGGAGCTGTAAACTCCGCCCCCCTCCATAGTGCAGACCTGTACTCTCCTCCCCCAGTCGGACTTTGTAGTTCTATAGAGAAATCGTTATTTAGCATAGCAGATTTAGCATAGCATATTAGCATTTTTAAAACATGTGGGGAGAGTAGTTCATCAAGCTGTTTCAAGGCTGCTAACTCTCTCATGCATTTGTCTGTAGTCGCTCACACACACCCGTCACGGCCGACGGAGGGACAAGCGAGCAGGCACGTGCACGCGCGCACACACACAAGGAATGCTGCTTGCTTATTTATTTCTATAAAAAAATGATACAGCTCATTAAAACACCATTAAAAGAATATATTTTATTAAGATCTCTATCTATCTATATACATACATATAATTATAAATAATTTTATAAGTAGTCTTATTTTATATTGGGTGTCTTAATGGCTGAAAATGGATAAAAAGCAGTTACATTTTCATTTAAAGATTTGAGATTCTAGTCAAAAATAAATAACATTCCTCCAAATGTTCTTTAATGTGATCATTATAATTCTAATGCTTACAACTTTTTTATTGTCTGCAATGCGTAGCCTATATCTTTATTAAATGTGTTTAGCTGTAAAGTGGTAATTCTCTCTAATGTGTACAGAGAGGTGGACATCAGTGCTGCAGTGAAATTCCCAAGATCAGTCTGCTTTGCTAACAAATATAGTTAAATCTTACCTGCATTCTAAATAAATACCGTTAGGTGAAAACATCAGTAGGCATTGAGTTATTGATAAAATCCCTAACAGCCAGAATGGAAGAAGAGCATGCTGGGTCATCCTGGATCTGAGCCTGTTCTGTGTATTTACCTACAGGATGCAATAAATGTCTACAAGGCTGAGTTTGGACCATTACATCTAAAAGAAAACATACAATCAGTGATTTTTTTATTGTTTACATTAAAATACTAATTTTCTAAGTATTAACCTCACAGCAAATAAGTAGAACTATATAATAAACAGGTTTTAGTAGTTAAACAGGCGTTGTGCACACAGGTGCTTTGTGTCTCGGTGCCAGTGGTATCTCAGAGTTCCTGTCCTCCTGCCGTCTTCTGTTGTCCTCAGGATACGGATTGATGTTTCCTGATGATGAGGGAGGGGCAGTATGTGGGCTTCAAACTGGTCCTGGACAACAGTGGGAGACCTCCGTTGTCTGAATACTGAGATCAGAGGGTTGGTGAGATGCTGATCTTCTCTACCTCATCTAGAAATGGAGTTAGTTCAGGGAAAACTTTTCCAAAGACCAGTTCCATGATGTCATCGCCATATTCTGCAATGATAGACAATAACTTTAATGACATATTTTGTTTACAAGCAGCTTTAGGAAAGTTGGTTCTTTAGCTTTCATGTTTATAGTCATGTTTGTGTTTGTTCACAAGTTCACTTTGCTGCAGTGACTTCATATTTTCTTACAAATGTAATAAAATAGTGACACTAAAATTATACAAATGATTCCTTATGAAAGGAAGCTCATTAGAGAGCAGTGCAGACAGACTTACTACATGCTGCAGCTGTGTTTGTAGGCCAGCTGCTGCTGAACTTGGGGAAAGTTATTCTGCACACGTCCAGATCAGATGGTCGATTACAGAAAATAATGTAATTCAATAATTTCTAAACAGACTAAACAAGTAAAACATCAAATAAATCACTCTGCTGTCATCAGACGGAGTGATTCAGGGGGTGAGGTGTTCTTAATGATGAGGGTGGCTGAGGTGTGTCATCACTCACTTTGGTCTGGTCCAGACCGTCTCTTTACTGGTGGGTCTCCTTCCTCAGTAGGTGATGTGAAGCTCCAACATCTGAGCGTTCTGTGTTCCTTAGAGGAGAAGAAAAGTAACATTAGCAAGCTGGCTAAATTATTTTTACTAGCATCTCAAGGCCTTGGAGAAGCAGATCTTCACGTACATAAACATCAAACCAGTTTGTCCCAGCTGAGCTCATCAGGGCTTTAGTCTGACAGCCTGTCAGTGAAACATGGCTCCAGCCTGCTGGATGTGGACTCTAAAAAGCAAAGGAGCATTTTTACTTTTGTTTTAATTATTTTACAGCTGATTTGACCAGCTTTCCGACGCTCACACTCATACAGACGGTGAGCTTTGCTGCGTGTGACTGATGCAGAGTTGGTTTTTATATCTGCAATGAGACAAAAAACTAACCTCACTTCACTCAGATTGTTCTTTAAAACTCTATTAAATCCACTGTGTTGACGCACTTTAATGACTTTGTCACGCTGCATTTTAGCTGATATGGGACTTTATTTACTGGATGCTAAGATTACATCACACTCACGTAGAATAACACACAGGCTCTCTGCTGTTACTATCAGTGGGAGGTTATCATCTGGTGTAAAAGAAGGCGTTGATCAGAAATCACGTTTTATTCCACGAAAATCGGCCAAATCCACATTAATCTGGGTGCTAACTTTACTAGCATACTGTGCTAGCGATAGCAAGTCGGATGCTAACGCTTTAGTGCTGCTAATGCCCGTAAATCTAAAGTAAAGTTTGTCGACATTTTAGAGTGATATGAAGCTTACCGCTCTGCTGCTGTGTCCCGGTGCTGCCACATTCAGATGGAAATGACTCGTTTTAGATAGATGAAGCCCTCAGTACTTAGCCAATAGCCTGGAGACACGAATGAACGAACCACGCGTGTGCGCGCACACACACACACTCACTCACACACGCACAAACACACACACTACTTTTTCTTCTGTGTTTTTTTAGCAGTAGTGTCATCAGCTCCTGGGTTTAAATACTGCCACACCACCCTTCCTTAAAACGAGGAACAGTTTTGAGCTGTGTGTGGCTAAAATAACCAGACATTCTGCATTTTTCCAATAGGACTACAAAAAATCTTAGCGAGAAGAAAAAATGGCGGATTGGCTCTGTGTTTAGCCAAGGGCCATTACCATATTTGGTAGTTATCCTGACGAAATAAATTACTGATGTAATAGATAATTTGAAAAACTGAACGGGTGGACAAATATGCCCAAAACTTAATTATTAAATATCTAAATGGCAACTCCAGTGAATAATATAAGCCTTTTTGCTCACTTAGACACTTAAAATGTGAAACACACTGTGTTAATGGATAAAAAAGTGGGTTTTTCATGTTATGTCTCCTTTAAAGAAGAAATTATAGCAACAATGAAAAAACACAACATAAACACATCAACAAACCCATACACAGCAATTAGAAAAAGACTAGTGCACCCAAAGAACAAGATATCAGCTGGACATAAGTGTGGAGTCATTTACGAAATCCCATGCAAACTCTGCAATAAAACGTACATAGGAGAAACCGGATGCCAACTCAACACACGAACAATAGAACATAGAAAATAGTGCTAGAAATAAACAAGTCGAAGACACACAAGAGCAGCAAGACAAGAAGCAGAAAGTACAATAAAGAAATCGGCCGTAACAGACCACTGCACTAGGAAAAACCATGTAATGGACTGGGACAGCACAAAGATCATAAACACTGAGCAACAGAAATATAAAAGATTGATAAAGGAAGCCATAGAAATACAGAGACATGGGCACAGAATCATGAACAGAGATGATGGGGTCTACACATTGAATCGCGCTTGGGACTGTGTCATCGGTGAGGAAAGCGTGGGCAGCAGAGGGCGACATCATCCTCTGCCTAAAACCTAAAAATGCAATCAGAAGAAACACAGAAGCAATATACAAAAGATTGGTGCACTTTTGTAATGTCTCAATACCTAAGAAAAAGTCTTCTGAAGCCATAGTTCAAACCCAACTGAAAGTCGGCCATTTTGGTCCGATGATGCCATTTTCTCTTTTGCGCACACTTTTTATTTGAGCTAACTTGTCCTAGGGCTTTTGGCCTACAGACTTCAAAATGATACATTACACTCCTAAGCTATTGGGGATCAAAAGTTGTCAAAAGAGGTTCCAAAAGTCTTATTGTGTAGACATGGCTAAGCCTCAAATATTGGCCTATCGCTAGTGCTTGAAGTGGAAAAAAATTATCGTTGGTTCCAGGATTGCAACAATAATACGTTTTGGTACAATTACCCCCAAATTCCACTACCTCCGCTCCGGTTCACCCCCGCCTTCCGCAGCCGCTCGCTTCCAAACTCAATTTTTACTGGTACCCGCTCTACAACGGCTCCGCTCCGGTGCAGAGACCTGAGGTGCGCAAACAGGCATGCGCGGGATTTTCGAGATCTTACGATACAGTCCGAGCAATAAACGCGGAAGTTAGATCCAAACACCCGTTGTGTGGGAGAAGCATCGAAATGAACTGTTTAATCTGCCCATCATTTGTGTTGAGAGATCAGCAGTGTTTGGATCAACAAAGTGTGACTACTTTGATAGTAGAAACTGTATTTATGGCTTACTT